GCTCCCTGAAGCTATCTTGCTGAGATTGCTCCATACTAAAAGATCACAATAGTCACGGAAGTATTGTTTGACCTACCAGGGACCAGAACCACAAACTGGCCCCCCTCACAGAGGCACAGGGAGCAGGTGACAATCCATCACCCAACTAGAAAAAACTATCAGGAAGTCAGGGCAGCTTTACAGACAACTAGAGGGTTCACAGAAAATGAAGCCTCAAAATCACCAAACAGTTCTGCAAATAATTCACACCGAACAAGAGATTCACTCAAGCCTGTTAGTAGTGATTACCACCACTAGCTGGCCCAGCCCAAGCTCCCAGCCAGCTGCCCAGGTTGGTACTGGAGCTGATGAACAACCCCATAAACAACCGACAAACCTGGAGGGAGGGAGGGAGGGCATCAGGGAGCCACCGGGGCTTCTCCAGAAAGAGGCATTTAATTACATTCAACACTGGCTTCCTTGAGAAACAGCCCCAGTGGCTCCCTGAAGCTAACTAACCTCAGAGAACAAGAAAGGGACTTGGCAGGGAGGAGGAGGGACGGTAGGCACTATTCCGAAGATGAATAGTGCCTACGGGCTGGGAAACATGTCCCAGTACCACACAATACTGACTGGGACCACAAACATTAACCAAGCACTGGACCACCAAGATCATCTTACCCCTCCACAACCCTTCGCCCCCCCCCCCCAGCCACCATCACCCAAGCCCCAAATATCCACCCAGGACATGTTTGAGAAAACACCAGCCAAAGCAACATACTCATGAACATCATGGATGTTCAAGATCAGCCAGATTTGATGCCATCATGGATAACCTGAGAATTAAGAGCTCTGGATTAGGTGACCAAGGAAACAAGGTGAACAAACAAAGGTGAGGTGCCAATGAGGCAGAACTGGTGTCACTGAGGTAGCAGTGAAGTGCTGCCACCAGACAATAAGTGATGCGCCCCAACCAAACCTACCAACTCAATCTTTGCCAACAAAGAAGAAGGCTGCACAAGAACAAAACACCCACCAGGCCAAAACCTGACTGTTTCTGACCTATATATGTACAATTGCAGGCCATTGCCTGAAGTAGTGACAAAATGCCTTTCAGTTCACAAAATACCAGCGTTGAATGTAATGAAACGGCATTTTCTGGGTGAGCCCCAGAGGCTCCCTGGAGCTTATCGGGCTAATGAATGTTATATTAAACCGGGACATTAGCTATGGAGTTCAGACCTACCAAGGACCAGCACCAGAACCTGGCCCCTTCAGAGAGTTTTCAGGGAGTAATGGCCCTGGAAAACCCCCCTGCGATTGGGAGTTTTCCTTATCTGCCATCGATCGGGGTTAGGCACCCAGCAAGGTAGACATAACAAAACAAACCCCACATGGTAAAAAACTAACAACAAAAACCGAACAGAGGGGTAGAACTCCCTACAATCCCAAGCAAACAAGCAAACAAGCAAACGTAACACACTACTGCCGCGCCGCTTGTTCGTGCAGCCCTCCCCTCCATAAGAGGGGGAGGGTGGGGGCCCGGACCTCACCGTCTGCAAAGCACTCCAGTTCGGAAGCTAAGCTTTAACAAATGCGAAAAAAATGCCGACCGGTTTGAGGGAGGATTGCCAGGGAGCCTTCTGTGGCTCACCCAGAAAATGGAGTTTCATTACATTCAACGCTGGTTTTCTGAGGGGAGCCCCTACGGCTTCCTAGAGCTTCATACCCAAAGAGAGGGAAAAGAAAGAGCTGACTCGGGAGGCGGCCGCCGCAAACTCTGCAACGCGAAGTTGAGACAACAGGGTGCAACCTGCGACCCAAAGCAACACAAGAACACCCAGGAGCAGACATGCTCACAAAATAACGGGTGGCCAGGAACCTGTATGACTTCCAAATCCCTGCGCACGAAATGAGCCCAAGACATGTTACCAAACACGGCAGCGAACATCCGAATGGCATGGGCGCGAGGATAGACCACAGGCCGGATAAATTTAATAACCCTGCAGTCGACCTGGGAGACCCGAGCCCGGGAACAGGGAACGAGGGAAACCAGATCAACCCAAAGCACATCCCCAGACACAGCAAGCAGGTAATGGTGAAACGCCACAACCGGACACAACACATGACACACCCCCGGCCGAACCAACCAAGCACCAAAAACCCCAAGGACCCCTCCAGAAAGCAGCTGTCTCGGCTTCACCAGAAAAGGCGGAGAAGGCTGCAAACGTGCAAACCTATCACCAGTACCAAAAGAGCAGGAACCTCTGTGCCGGAGGAGAGCCGGAGGCTCCCCGACCCGACCCACAGAGGCCAATGCAAACAAAGTATGATCTTTGAAAAACAATCTTGATCCGAAGGGGCTACCACAAACCGAGGAGAGGAAAGATAAGAGAGCACCCTGACTAAGGACCAGGACGGCTCAGGCGGTACATGAGCTCCTCCTGCTCCTCGGCAGGAGGAGCAGGCCCAAAAACCTCCATCCTCAACCCGAACGGGGCAGCCCCGAAGCCGCCCGAGTCTCAGCACCTACTAGACCCCACCCCAACCCCGAAATCCACATACAGTCGGGAACCGGTCACCATGTAGGTAGCAAGTCGCGCAACATCTTGATGCCCTAACCAGCACAATACCAGTCCCTACCCAATGCCAAACAAGGGCCCCAAGCCCCAGCTGGCCCCAAGGGCGAGGCAAAAGCCGAGCAGCAAAAACCTCTACGGGAATGGTTCCCGTACGCCCCAGGGAAGATAATCCTGTCACGCAGGGGCATTACTCACAGGGCGCTTAGGGAAGGAAGCCTCTAAGCGCATGCAGCCCTGGTACTGATGAGGAACACCTGGCCACCGCACAACACAACACACGGCAGTGAACGCCACGAAGGCAAACACCGCCTAGGAAACTGAGGCCAGAAAAGTGTCTGTCTCGGTTGACATTAGCTTACGAACTGGAGTGCTTTGCAGCCGGTGCGGTGAGGTCGGAGCCCCCTTCCCCTCTCGGGAAGGGGAGGGCTGTGCGGACGAGCGGCATGGCAGTAGTGTGTTACGTTTGCATGTTTGCTTGTTTCCATGGGATTGTAGGGATTTCTACCTCTCTGTTCGTTTTTTTATTTTAGTTTTTTACAATGTGGGGTTTGTTTTGTTATGCAGTACCTACCTTTCTGGGTGCCTAACCCCGGTCGATGGCAGATAAGGAAAAACCCCAATCACAAGGTGGTTTTCCAGGGCCATTGCTCCCTGAAACCTCTCTGAAGGGGCCAGGTTCTGGCACTGGTCCCTGGTCCCTGCTCTGAACTCCATAGCTAATGTCCCGGTCTAATATATCATATATTAGCCCGATAAGCTTCAGGGAGTCATAGGGGCTGCCCTCAGAAAACGAGCATTGAATGTAATGAAACGTCATTTTATGAGTGAGCCCCGGAGGCTCCCTGGAGCTATAGGACTGATATACGGTATATTAGTCTGGTGCTTCAGTCAACAGAGTCCTGCCTACTGGGGACCAGAGACTGAAACTGGTCCCCTCAGAAGCCTGCAAAGAAACCAGGCCAGGCACCGAAGTCCGGCATGACGGGAAAAGCAAGTGCAGCAAAGTGCAGATTCCCCCCCCCCCCCCCAAGCCCAACCACTTGTGCTGGACGGTAGAGCGACGGTCTCGCTTCATGCAGGTCGGCGTTCAATCCCCGACCGTCCAAGTGGTTGGGCACCATTCCTTCCCCCCGTCCCATCCAAAATTCTTATCCTGACCCCTTCCCTGTGCCATATAGTCGTAATGGCTTGGCACTTTCCCCCTGATAGTTCTCTTCCCTTCCCTTTCCCCCCTCCCCCCCCAAACAGTGCAAGGTGAGACCACAGCAACATCACAGGAGGGAGAGACACAGAAGCGGTCCGATAGACACAAACGAGGCCCAGCTAGGTGCAAACCTGGGACGGAACCAGATTGGACTTTCCCCAGGTCACCAGGACCACAAACCCGGCGAGCCGGGAAAGAACCACCCCTTTGGCGAGCAGACAAGCAGACTGGCTGGGAACTCACACCAACCAGTGGTCCAATCTGGTAGGCCAAAAGGAAAGCAGTGAAAACAAGAAACACACCATCCCACCATGAACCCAAACCAGTCCCTGAACCCAGGTTGAAACGGGAAGTGCCAATAAGCATCCCAGAGGGCCAGATACACCCTCCAACAACCCAGCTCCAAAAGAAGCCAGATCTGGGACAGAGAGGTTATCCGAAAGGAGGGGCAAGGAATCCAGCGGTGCAGACGGGATCAGTCCAAAAGAACCGAAGATCCGCACAGTCCTGTGACGGCACCGGAACAAACAGGAAACCAACCAAAAGGACAAGGTCGTTCTGACTATGCCCAGGGCGTAGTCAGTCATAGTCTTTCCTCTCCTGACTAGCCTAGCCTTGTCAAGCACCACGTCAGACATTAACTTAACATCAGATTGTTCTTGCCATGTACCGTTAGCATTAAATTTTATGAATAAACTAATTGTTTAATACAAGTGTCTTTACGTTCACACTTTCAGACCCCTTGTACCCAGTATTGACTTTGCCATTATTTCTGTTATTACCATGATCCATTTTGATGTTGCCTGGATTACTTGGATTTGAACTGCGTTCATGGTCACACACATCAAATATAAAAACTATTTGGTGTGAGAATCATTTGAGCTACTCTGATGACCTCCCTCTGAGGCCGCTAGAAGTTCCACGACCTAGTGGATAAGGAGTGCCAAGGACTTGGACTCCTGCAGCTGCTCTATGCATCCCTGGTCAGTCATTAAAGTATAATCTACTCTCAGCATTTGTTTGGTGCTAGTTCAGTCCTTTCCTGACTGAGGTTTCTTGTAACCTATTCACCCCTAAAAAGGGATAATTTTACACTAATATAGCGCTGATCAGTCCCATAGCTCCAGGGATCCTCCGGGACTCACCCAGAAAATATCATTATTACAAGAAAAAAACATTAAACTGTACTGCATTATAATGAACAGTGTGAGCAGGTCAACAGAAAGCTAACTCACCTTATGGGATGACATAATGGTAGATAACTGCGTAAGATCGGGTGAAGTAACTCTACCTGTTGCCCGAGGTTCCTCTAATCCTTGAACCAATTTTCTTAAAACTGAGATGGCATGCCGGTTCCAGGGTGTCCTGAAGCAAGCAAGAAGCCATTTGATTAGATCTAGTTCCCAGCATATTTGTACAGTACTAGAGGTATGTTTCAGACACATGGCTCATACATTACTAGAATACAAATATTTGAAGGAATGTGGTATTTTAATTAATAATAAATACCCGGTAAATAAATATCAACATACCAAGAAACTAATATCCATATTATGATATATTTTGCTATGTGAAGGGTTGATGAGGTTTAGTTTATTATGAAATTAACTATCAGTACTGATGAGAATGAATAACAAATATCCTGTCTATGAATGTCATCAAAAGTAAAAGAACACATCATTTTATTCCTTATTTATTATGATAAAGTCTTTGTCCAGAAAGAAAATATTTAATATAAAGAAAACCAGTGTTGAATGAAATGAAATGCCAATTTCTGGGAGAGCTCTAGTGGCTCCCTGAAAAAATAAACTGAGATGGTTCCCATCTACCAGGTCTCATTAGCTGTAGAGTTCTTAGAACTACTGGGGAACAGTTCCAGAACCTGGCCCTCTCACAGAGGCAGGAAAGGTGACCTTTTGCCACTTTACCGGGGAAGGCATCCGGAAAGTTGGCGAGTCAAAACAAACCACTGCTGGGTTCAAAAGTGACTGAAGCCTCGAAAATCTGCCTAATGCACTACCCAACTATGTAAACAAATGATTGAATCTCTCAAAACAAGTATGAGCTTGTTCACTCCACCTCCCCCACTCATTTGGGAAGGAGGGGAGGAAATGGCTCACCACCTTCCAGGGGATTGAGCAGTCAATTTTGTAGCAGATGCACAAACAAAACCTACCTGACGACCTGGAGGAAGGGGAATCAGGTAGCCACCGGGGTTCACCCAGAAATTAGCGTTTCATTACATTCAATGCTAGTTTTTCTAGAGGTAGCCGGTAGCCATTTGTGGCTTCCTGAAGCTAACTACCCATAGAGAATGAAGAATACATGGGAACTTACTACTACTGAGGGGGAACCACAGGAGTCAAGATTAAGAAGAGAACTGCAGGAGTCAGGACGAAGGAGAGACCCCCAGACAAGAGACACAACCCAAGGGCACGCAGGGACGGCAAGACACAAAAGCGTTCACCAAATATCGGGCCCCTGAGAACCCTTTTAGACTTCCAAAATCCCTGCACTCAAATAACAGCCCAGGACATATGAGCAAACACAGCCATGAGAGCAGCTGTTTAAGTGGATGACCTGAGAAACATAAGCCTTGGAAAAGGGAATCAAGGAAACGGCATCAACTCACAAAGCATCCACCAAAGCAGAATCGGTGGCATGAAGGTAACAGCGGAGAGCCACCACTGGACACAGTACATTGTGTACCCCCAGCTGAACCAAGCATCAATAACCAAAGAACCCCTCCCCCTGGCCTCCAAAAGCCAGCGACTCATTCCTTGCCAGGAAATACGGAACTGGTTGCAAATGAATAAAGCACCCACCAAGACCAAAGAAGCAGAAATCACGCCACTGGAGGAGAGCATGAAGTTCCCACACCCAACAACCAGAGGCAAGAGATGGCAAAAATAAAACCCTAGAGAAAGAATCATGGACCAAAGAGGACATCATGAAACGAGAAGAAAGAAAGGCGATAACAGGGTTCAAAGACCAAGAAGGCTCATGCGGGGCATGAACAGGCCGGAGGTGAAACAATGCGTGAACAAACACTGAAACAATGCGTGAACACAGTGTAAAAAGTGTTTTACACTTCCATGTAAAACATTGCCATAAAGGCAAGAGAACACTAAAGAAAATGGGAAAGCTTCACACATCAGGAAAAAACTGAAGCCGGGCGCCCCGGGTCGGCTCCCTCCAGCGAGGGAAGAGGTGGAGTTAATCTGTGGTAGGCTAGTTTTCACTAAGTTTTGTTTTCTTTTATTATTGGGAGAGTTCTTTTGGCACATTGGGGGCTCTGGTTGTGTTTTTAAACCATGCAGTGGTTTGATTTGATTTGCCTATCTTTCTGGGTGCCTTCCCTGGTGATTTCAAAGATGATATCCTTTAAATGTAAAGTGATTATAGGTCATCGATCTCTGTCTCTGAGGATGCCAGGTTTTGGCTGGTGGTCCCTGGTAGGCAGAAACAACTCCTCAACTGATGACACTAGGTAGTACGGCACTTAATCAGTGATGATAGCTCCATGGAGCCAACAGGGCTCCTCACAGAGATGCAACATCTTTGATCACTATTTGTTATTTTTCTTATTAAGTTTGCAATATAGATATAAATTATAATTCCTCTTCACTCTAAATTAGTATTAACTATGACATACTTTTCAAAATGATGCTTCCTACTAACCTCTGAGTGCTTCTCCACTTCATGATGGCATCCCTCAGAGTTATCTCAAGCCTTTCTTTCAGCTGCTCCATTTGGTCTGTGTTCACTTTAGGAAATAAGAGTCGCTGAGGTTGCACGCTCGGCAACCCTGGATCAGGCTGCGACCGAGAAAAGAAAGGTCGCCAACCAGATCCCTGGACATCAAAATTAACCCGTGGAGGATCATCATATTTCTGAACATTAGCCCAAATCTGAAAATGGATAATTTTAAGCCAACGAATGAAATTACTCAATTGCAGATCTAAATAAGCGTACATTAGGAATCTACCTACTACAAGCAATTAATCAAAATACAGTGTACTGTACATACTGATATTTAATCCTTCATCTGTGACTCTATTGAACTTTTTTCACCGTGGCACCCCATTTTTACTCTCACAGACTAATAAAAAACCAGCATTAAATGTAATGAAACGCCATTTTCTGGGTAGAACCCCAGAGGCTCCCTGGAGCTGTTGGACTGATATTAGTACAGGGCTTCAGTCATATGGAGTTGTCACATCCACCGGGGACCATAAGCCAGGACCTAGTCCTCTCAGGGAGGTAAAGGGAGCAATGGCCTCTGAAACTCTCATGTATGAAAGTATTCATGTCTGTCATCTACCGGGGTTGAGCACCCAGATATGTAAGCACTTCAAAACAGACCAGACCTGCTAGAAATATTGCAACCTGAGGCCAAACAAAGGCGAGAAACACCCCCAAAGAAAAACAAGCTAACAAGCAACACGTCATCACACCGGGTCAACCCAAAGTGCGTCCCTTGACACAGCTGAGGCATGCATGTAAGGGCATAAAGCCACAACCAGACACAAAACATGATGCACCCCCCAGCCTGATCAATCAAGCATCAATGACCCACGGATCCTCCGAAAGCCCAACGTCTCGTTCTTCGCCAGAAAAGAATGAGACGGCTGCAAACGAACAACACGTCCACCCGAACAAAAACAAAACAAAAGCCTCTACGCTGGAGGACAGCATGAGGGTCTCTGACCCGACCCCCAGAAGCCAAAGCTAACAAGAACAAAGCTTTCTGGAAACAGTCTTGGACTGAAAGGCCCACCATAAACTGAGGGGAAGAAAGAAAGGAGAGCACCCAGTCTAAAGACCAGGATGACTCAGGCGGCGCATAAGCAGGCTGGAGGTGGAAAAAGGTACGAAAAAGCTTGCGAAACGGAGTCAAAGTGACATCCAGTCCCGAACGCAAGCTGGAGCGGTTCCACCAGTGCCACATGATACGAGGCAACAGTATTCGGCATAAGATGCCTGTTCTGAAAGAGCCGAGAAAGAAAAGTCAACACAACACGATCCGAGACAGGATCTGAAACCAAAGACAACCTATGCAGGGAAAGGAGGTGGCGAAGAGACCGCCAAGAGACTTCATACTGTCGCCGAGAAGAAGACAGCAGGTGGGACACCATGAGAGAAACCACCTGGTTACCATACAGCTGGTGATACACCCATGTCAGAAATACCAGACATGAAGCGTGGAAGAGTAGAGCGAACCAGGAAGGTACTTCACTGGTCCGATCTGCTGAAAGAGGTGAAGCTGTAGAAAATGCATCGGGTTTGGATATTGAGCAAGCAGCGCCTGAAACCAAGGCCGGGCAGGCCACCATAGGGCTAGAAAGAGAACCCGCCCCGATAGGATTTGACCAGAGCCAGAACAGCTGAACTGGGGGAAGGGGTACAGGTAACCTCACCTTGACCAGTCCTGCTGAAAAGCGTCTACCACGAAGGCCTTGCAGTCAAGGTAAGGCACCACATATACAGGGAGCTGCCTCGACCACACCAACGCAAATAGGTCCTGGGGCCTCACAGAGGCCAGAATGTTCGGCAGAGCCAACTGAACGAGTCGGCGTCGATTGTCCATTCCGTGAACAGGGGAATGAACCACGACAGGCTGTCCGCCAGGATGTTGGACATATCCTGGATATGAACTACACAGAGAACTAAACCCCAAGAACTCAGCAGAAGAGTCACTCGAAGCGACCAGCCCTAAAGAGCCACAGAACGCAGAGACCCCCTGCGGTTCAGGCAATGAACCAAAGGAGCGCAGTCCAAATGGAGCCGGTTCGTGCAGCCCAGAGCAAGCCAAATCTGACGCAGTGTAAACAACACTACCACAAATTTCAGCACCGTACTTTGAGCCCGATGGAAGGATGGAGCCCACTGCCCCTGTCCGGCCTGGTGAGCACTGGTCTCAAGTCCGAGCCTAGAGAGGCGGCATCCATGAACACATTGAGGCAAGGCTCCGGAAGGCCCCAAGGTACTGAACCTCAAAAAGCCCGAAGCAGCAGCAGGCAATGCAGCAGCTGACATAAGGCCCCTAGGGGGACGAACCCAGTGAATGCGTGCTTGGTGGAAGGGATGGCCCCAAAGGAACCAGAACAGATGCCGCAACCAAACCCGATCTTGCGAGTAAACAATCACAGCAAAATTCAGCCTTCCACACAGCTGCTCGAGCAACCACCAAGTGACCTGGGACCCCCTCAGAAACAGACGACGGCGAGACTGCAGCCGGAGCAATGCCACCTGAGGAAGAGACAAGGACGCAATCCAGGAATGCCAGACAAGGCCCAGCCAAGTCCGCAACTGAGAAGGAACCAGATGGGACTTCCTCTAGTTCATCAGGAACCTGAACCCAGCAAGATGGGAAAGAACCAAACCCCTGGCAAACAGACATGCGGACTGGCCACCATAACTCGGGTAAGACGCATGAAAATGCAAGGTGCCAGATACAGCCCAAAAGGAAGGCAATGAAAGCAGCAAGCTCAATACCCCACCACGAAACCTAACCAGTTCCTGAACCCCCCGGATGAATAGGGACGCATCAATATGCTTCCCAGAGGTCCAGAGACGCCATCCAAGAACCCAGCTCCAAGTGTAGCCGGACCTGGGACAGAGGAGTCATTTCGAAAGGAGCTGCAAAGAATCCAGGGGTTCAGATGGGACAAGTCCAGAATGAATCTCAGTTCTGCACAGACCAGTTTCAATACCAGAAACAGGCGGAAAAAAACCCATCTGAGGGACGAGGTGGGTTTCTTGCCACAAAGAAAGAGTAGGCTTGGAAGAGCTATCATAGTACAATGGACCCCATAGGGGGTTTTCCAGAGACTGAAGGGTGAACGATTTCCAGGAAGCCCAGGCACATGGAATGTTAAGCCGGTAATTCCTGAATAGTACAGACAATCCTGGCTACCTGAAGCCAACGGAAAGGCAACGGAAAGGGGAAACAGGGGGGTTTAATTGCACAAACTAAGGGCTAGGCCTACTAAGGTGAAAAAGAAGTACCCCACCCCCCAAGAACAAAAGGGCAAAATGTCAACATGAACTATGACAATATGAAAAGCCCAAACCCCCAGGACCAAACTGCAGAAAATGAGTCACCAAGCAGAACGATCAGCACACCTGATGGTTCAAGGTTGGGTAACCTTGGGAGCCGCACCCAACTGCCATGAGAAAGGAGTGGAAAAGCGGCGATGGCAGCAGCAGAAGTGGAATAATGTAAGTCAGGCCAGCGCAGTCTTGTGATCGGACCTGCATTCGAATCTATCTCTCTCAGGCAGCATCCGAAAACTTCTTGTACCCGGTTGCTCAGCGGCTTCCGGCACCCACACCATTGAGAGAGAGAGCAGGCAAAGACTCTGCTCCTCTCATTGACAGTGCTGGTGCCTGTTCTTTTGGCACCTAACCGTGATATCCCTGACCATGCAAGGGCAGCACTTAAGGTGCATACAGGGAAGACAACCCTGAGCACATGCAGCTCCAAGCACACTAAACTTCTGGCTCATGCTATGCAAACACATAAAACAGCCTCAAAGCAGGGTTGCCAGAAACCAAGTAACTGAAAGTAGCAAACATAAACAGCCAGAAATGCAATTGGGCTCCTTATAGCCCAAGTGGGCTACAGATAGCACAATGAAGCAACCCTGCTTCAAAGGCATAACACCACTTAGCTGACTAAAGGAGACTGGAGCCAGAGCAACGTGGACAGTGACCACGCACCATCAGTGGGGCGGCCCGCAACCCGTTCTCGCACTTTCGTACAGTCAATATTGACTTATTAAATAAGTGCATATGTGACATACTAATTTATTGTGAATATTTTAGTTTACCTTGAAAAGTTTCATAGAAAACACCGACCTTACCTAACCTTCTTAGTATGTTAAGATAAGCATCTTATTGCTTCATAATTACAATTATTACTTAACCTATTATAGGTATAGGTTAAGTAATAATTGTAATTACGAAGTATGTAATTCTTAGTATGTTAAGATAAGCATCTTATTGCTTCTTAATTACAATTATTACTTAACCTATTATAGGTATAGGTTAAGTAATAATTGTAATTACGAAGCAATAAGATGCTTATCTTAACATACTAAGAAGGTTAGGTAAGGTCGGTGTTTTCTATGAAGCTTTTCAAGGTAAACTAAAGTATTCACAATAAATTAGTATGTCACATATGCACTTATTTAATAAGTCAATATTGACTGTACGAAAGTGCAAGAACTGGTTGCGGTCCGACTGACTTGGTCCGCCCCCTCCTCCCCCAATGAAACGCCATTTTCTGGGTGAGCCCCGGAGGCTCCATGGAGCTTATCAGGCTAATGTATGTTATGTTAGACCGGGACATTAGCTATGGAGTTCAGACCTACCAGGGACCAGCGCCAGAATCTGGCCCCTTCAGAGAGGTTTCAGGGAGCAATGGCCCTGGAAAACCCCATATGGTTGGGGGTTTTTCCTTATCTGCCATCGACCGGGGTTAGGCACCCAGAAAGGTAGGCGTAACAAAACAAACCCCACATGGTAAGAAACTACAACAAAAACCAAACAGAGAGGTAGAAAACTCCCTACAATCCCAAGGAAAACAATCAAACAATCAATTTACTGTCGCGCCGGTCGTCCGCGCAGCCCTCCCCTCCCCGGGAGGGGGAATGGGGGCCCGGACCTCACCACGCCGGATGCCTTCAATTTGCAAGCTAGTGTCAACCGGGATAGACGCTTCTCTGACCTTAAATTCCTTAGCGGTGTTTGCCTCGTGTGGCGTTCTCTGCTGTTTTTGTGTGGTGTGCGGTGGCCAGGAGTACTTCATCAGTGCCGGGGCTGCATGTGCCTAGGGGCTTCCTTCTCTAGGCGCCCTGTGAGTACTGCCCTTGCGTGTCAGGGTTATCTTCTCTGGGGCGTTCGG